TAGGTTGATTTAGTTAGACCGTCAATAATAATGATATGGCTGATTTAGTAATAGTTAGGCTGTCAATTAGAGTGATTTAGTTTCCTTGTCTAAGCCAAATTGTTTTCTTTTGAGGCCTAACATTGTATATACATTGAGGTTTTACCTCACATTACAATGGAAAAACATAAAAAATGTTCCCGCAAACAATTCCATGGTATCAAACCGTTGCCTACTACAACCATTGTCCATCAACCGCCACCGTCATCAGGTGATGAAAGTTGAAACCCTATGCTACATTGAGCCGCCGCCCTCCTCTAGAGTGATGGAAACCTAGTTGCCCTTGCTGTCTCCATTGCGACAAAACTTTAGCCATGCCTATGCCAATGTTACTATCTCCGGCTAGGCCTATCCTTTTTTACATGTTTTGAAGCAACTAAGACCGAATTCTCGTCTTTCCATGAGTTAGCCCATGAGTCGTGTGGTAAGGTAAACACACCCTTGTACTTACCCCTCAAGGAGTCTAGTCGAGTCAACACTTTATTTCAATTAGTTCATTCAGATATATGGAGACTTTGTCCTATTACCTATAGTCCTATACTAGTGATTTTAAACATTTTATTACGTTTGTTGACGACTTTTTTTCATGCAACATGGGGTCTCTTGCTTATAACATGTAATGAAATGTTTCTGTCTTTCATTAAAACATGTCATATGATAATGCAAAATAATATTTCACATTTGATTTTATAAGTTCTTTTTTATATCCAAGTGTGGTATTATATATTGATCATCATGTGCGTATATACCAATGTAGAATTACATTACTGAATGAAAAAATCATCATTTACCAGATATGGCTAAGGGTGTAAACAAGCCGGGTCGAGTCGAGTAGTAGGTTAATCGAGCCGGGCTCAAAAAGTTAATACTAGGCTCGAGCTCGACTTGAGCTCCAATATAACATTCTTAAAAAAAATAGTAAATGGAATTATAGAAGAAACTTTTTTTTCTAAAATTGAAAAAAGAACATTGATCAAATTGAAAATAAATAAAACAAGTCCACCAACAATAGTTGGAGTTTTCAACAAACGTTTAGCAAGTCGAAGGACGATTTGGAATTATGGATTTGATTTCGACTGATTTCAGAAATTTGTCAATTTACATAATACGGTCAATTGAGAAATGAAAACTAAAAACATAATGTCTTAGACGAACTTTTTTTAATTGGCCCATAAAAGTTAAGCCTACAACATGAAACTAAATATAATTAATGCATGTGTATTTTTGGCGGTCGGTTATGTCCAGACCACTAAAAAAAGTTCAAGCTGCAGGCCAGACCGGGCAGTTTGGCTATTTTTCAAACCAAACCGGACCGCCAGACCGCTCAAACCTCCAAAAATGGTCCAGTTTGACTTGGTTTGAGCGGTCCAACAGTTTTTTTGAACACCCCTACTCAATGATGTGACTGATTGAGGCACTTAATCACCTTGAATGGTCTAAAGCGATGCATGAGGAGATGGATGCCTTATAGAAGAACCATACTTGGGATTTAGACCTGGAAAGTACAAAGTAGATTGTATATGGGTGTTTATGGTGAAGGACTAAAGCTTAAACTTAATGGCTTTTTATATTGGTTGAAAGCCTGGTTGGTTGCAAAAGAGCTATTCTCAGGCTTATGAGATTGACTATGATGAGAACTTGTCTCTAATGGACAACATGTCGTATGTTTGTATTTGGATGTCAATAATGCATTCTTTAAATATATCCGAAGGCTGAGGTGCATCTAGAGTAGATGCTTGGGTTTGTCGTTGAGGAGGCGGCCTCAAAGAAATGTCAATTTCGACATTCATTACATGGTCTCACGCTGTCCCAAAGAACGTGGTGTGGATGATTTTTAGATGTTCTTCAGTATTTCATTATGACTCATAGTTCGTAGGATAATTCTATCTTCTCTCGACATTTATCAAGGTTGATGAATCATGCTAGTAGCATATGTGGATGAAAACATCACTAGAGATGATAGCAGATGATTTCAAAGTTGAAACATTTCTTACAATCTGAGTTTCAAATTACGAATTTGGATGTCTTCGTTACTTCCTTAGGATAGAAGCTTCTTTCTCAACATGGGATTCTCTTATCTCAATGCTAATATGCTCTTGATATGCTTACGAGTGTGGTCTACAAGGGTGCAAAAAACAAGTGGACAATCTGATGCTTACAATAGGAACCTTTTTGAGAGATTGAAATCCTGTGAGGTATCCCGAGTGTAAGAGGAGACTAGTTGAAAAGATAAACTATTTGACAATTGCTTGACCAAATATGTCATTCTTGGTTTATGTTTTGAGCCGGTTTCTTTCTGCTCCACGCGATGGTTATTGGGATGCAACACTTTGTGTTTTAAGATATCTCAAGGCCACACCAGGTTTATGGATGCTCTATTCAAATTAAGGACACTATTCGTTGAAGGAGATGGCATAAATCCGGTTTCTCTGATGCAAATGCATATTGCGTTGATAGCCTTGTTCGAGGTAATCGAGTTTCTCTGGACGTCTCCCGATCAAGTGTGAGTAGAGTACAAAGTAATGGTAGATGTTTATATGAGATGAAACACACGGTTATTTTAAAATAACCGTGTAAAAACATATTTAAAAGAACAAGGGTCTGTTTTACATAGTCTTTTCTAACAACTGTGTAGAAAAGCCATTTTTGTATTAGTGAACACGCGGTTAGCTATGGAGTCTGATCTTATAGCTATTGAAAGGCATCACGACATTCTAAGATGATACAACCCGTAATATTAAATGGTGTAATACAGAATCTAAAAACATTCGTAAAAATGCAACACCATTTTACTAATCTCAACTAAGGTTATCTTTATTAACTAAGCTACTAGAAGGGTACTTGTGTAATACAACGAGATACATCTTGATTTTAGTGTTTTGTTTTATTATCTGTGTCCATCGATGTTATATTTTAGATTTTTTATATTTAAAATGAAATGTTTATCTTTTATATGATTATGTTTATCTGCAATTAGTTACAAGAATTCAAATATAAAGCTTTAATAAGTTGTACTTACGTATAATTTACTTGTAATCTTGAATTTTAAGTAATGTGCATCAATAAACAGTACTTCATGTATAAAAAATGATTTTTAAGAGTTATTTATTAATATCGATATATACGGTTTTATGTGGTTTTGAGAAAATGATATTGTTTTTATTTTTGAATAAAATATAAATTATAAATATCATAATATTTTAAAAAGAGTATATAATATTAGTATTAAATTAACTATTCAAAAGTTCTAGTTTTGTGTAATTTTTTAATTCAATTTTTTTATTATAATTTAATTTTACATAACGAAGTAATTTAATTTAGGTTTAATAATATAATTTTTTATAAAGATAAGAATTAAGTATTCTGTTAGAATTCAATGATTATCCTAATTTTATTTTAGATATTTTATATTTAAAAATGAGATGTTTATCTTGTATTTGATTATGTTTATCTGTAGTTAGTTACACGAATTCAAACATGGAGCTTTAATAAGTTGTACTTATACACAATTTACTTGTAATCTTGAATTTTAAGTAATATGAATCAATAAATAATACTTTGTGCATAAAAAATGGTTTTTAAGAGTTTTTGTCAAATGTTTTATAATATAGCATAGATAAGGGGACTTTAAGGGAACTCACAGTGTTTACAAATGACTTGATGAGACGTTATTATGATAACGAGTTAGCTGTTCACATAAATAATCAAGTTTTTCATGAAAGGACCAAGCAGATTGAAGTTTATTTTCATCTTTAAGGGACATAGTATACATCAGTATCGAGTACTAGCTTCTAGACATTCTCACAAAGCCATTACACAAAGGGTAAATGTTTTTCATTTGTAGCAAGTTAGGCATGATTAGGATCTTTGCTCTAACTTGAGGAGTGTACATATATTGTAATCATAGGCCAATTTAGTTAGTCCGTCAATTAGAGTGATTTAGCTTGACTTAGTTTGAGGCGATTAGCTCACAAAGTAAAAACATAAAAGATCATGGAAAGAAATATCATCTTCGTCATTAAATGAATTAAAGAACACCTTCATAGCACAAACATCTCCTAGTTTATTTTTTTTTTTTGAGGAGGGGCCGCGGGGGTGGGGGGTGAGAGCTAGCAGTTTAGGTCGCTAGAGCCCGACGAAGAAGATAGGGATATGTTATTGCCCTACATGTTGTATGTGTGTTTTGTCTTACCTTACATTTTGTGTGTTTTCAGTGTACCAACTGTTACTTTTTATTACTTATTTTTCTTGTTCTATGATTACTATGTGCTAGCCTTTGTTCATTTTACCTGTTTGCTCACATTCTTGCACAAGGCGGGGGTCTTCAAGGAAACAATCACTTGCACTTTTGGGTAGAGGACATGTCTGTGTACATCTCACCCTCTACTGGACCCTACTTTTGAGTTGGATTTACTTGGTTAGTTTGGTTTTGTTTTGTTTTGTTTCAGTTTGAAGTCTAAACACCATGCCTTCTTACACCTTCTACGAATCATGCTTTTGTGTGCTCACAATTTAATTTACATATAGCAAGTAAAAGGCAAAATCCTAAGCATGGTTCAATTTTTTTTCCAACTTAACAATGATATCAATTAGATAACTTACGATAAATTTATGCTCCCTCTATAATGCTTTGATATGAAGGAAAGAGTTGAAGTATGACATGTCTTATTTAGTATTCTCAATGTAAGACAACTCTATTGAAGCAGTGTTGGTCTTAGTAACTTTAAGATGAAATTTTTATTGCAAATGTTCTTGAGATGCTATTTGCCAGGTGAATGGTCTTCTTGAATACTGTGGAAGAAAGTTAATTGGCTAGCGATTCATCAATATCATCTATTTATTTATATTGCTTGTTGCATCTGTGATACGAGTGGTCTTCCATCTTTCCTTTTTTGTTGTTGTTCTATGCTATATATCTCGTTGCATCTCTTGTGTAAGTAACTATCAAAGTTCGATCTCAGATTTTGGCATGATGGGCGACTTCAAGCAAGAACTTCGTGATGGTTTCATTGAAGCCTGTCTCCATCTGATAAATCGTGATTATGATGCGTTGGCTAAGGACTTTGTTACCCTTGGGTACTATTGTCTTCTTTTTAGCATTAAATTAAAAAGTCAATGCTGAAGTTTAGGTATGAGTGTATTTTGATGAAATATTCAGGCTGCTTCCTGCAACGGCTGACAAGGATGCTGTTACGAAGGCATTGACAGGTATAGTTATATCACCTGTCTACATAATCATTTCATGAAGTCATTTTTTACGCAATAATACCTCCACATACCAATTTTTCTGGTTTATGAATCCCTTTGTGGGAAGCATGTGTAACATTTCCTCTGTCCCATGAACTTTAAACTTTTAAGTTGGCACATGGTTTTAGGGGTGACTATTTCTCAAATGTCTAAACTACTTCATTAATGACAAAATAAGGTAATCTAGTGGACCCAATTTTTTATCAACTTATATGATCACAATGGCTAAGTAGGTCATCTTTACTTGATATTCCATAGTCCATAATGGCACTTTTGCTTTTTCATGTTCTCTTTGTCTTGCTAAATTTGACTTTTTTTCTGGGTAGGGGTTTTTCAGAATGCTGTTGCCAAAGGAGTCCGAAATATCAGCTTTGGGGATCTTTTGGGAAATCTAGGAACTACCATGTAAGATTCTAGCTATTTCTTACCTTTGCCGTGGCTATGTGCTACCTTAGATGTGCACATCTGTACTTCATAAACTAGGCATGTTTCCTCAATGCAATACTAAAAATCATATGATTAAGTTTTATTTAGAACACATTTGAGTAGAGCCCGACACTCATTACAAGCAGTAGTATTGTAGTCATGCTTCTTACAACTTAAAAGTTATCATATCCTCTTTCTCTTCGTTAAATGTCTCGCAAGTCCCATTTTAAGACACCATTTGACTCCCTAATTATTTCTTGTATCGCCTTCTTTTTTCTTCTCATTGGAGTTATTTCACAAAGACTTGCCAAAAATTTACTGCTTTAGTGGTAAAAGTGAACATAATATTAATGATTTTGCTACCTTATAACCCGGAGGTTATGAGTTTAAACTATGGGCAATTGGGCATAGAGAAACTATAAGTACATTAGCCACTGCTAATAACTACTTGAAAACAGTATTCTAGGTCTCCTTTAACTGAGAAAAAAGGAAATAATATCTCCTTTGATTAGGAAATTATAGAGATTTGATTCTCTATAACCATGCATAAATATATGTCACAGTAATGTAAATTACATAGAGTCAGTTCATTCACACCTAGAGTCAGTTCATTACACCACTTCGTTTTTCCACTTGCAATTCCTTTTTCTTAATTCATAAAATGGGGAGACCTTACTTCACTAAGCACGCCTTAGCAGCCACCTACTCCATACCAAAAAGTAAGAAAGAAAAACTGAAAGGGATGTAAAAGTACTTGCCATTTACATTCATTGCTATGATGGTAGTAAATTGATATTTGTTGTCTCGTTGATCAACAAAATATTTCTTTTCTACACGTCTACATATATCTGACATCTTCATAACTTTTCTAGATTATTGTGAGTTATTATGGCATGATTTAATGGTGGTTTCTTTAAAGGTAGCATTGTTCTGGTAGAGATAGTATGGTAAATTGTTTCAGACTTCAAAATGTTACTTTGAAAAGGACAAGGGTGTCTTTAGACAAAGTGTAGTTCTTCAGTAGCTATGAAATTTACAAAGATGGAAATAAATCTGTGGAGTACTAAAGAGTGATCTAGTTGGCACAGTTATTGAAGCCATTTTATGGTGTAATCTCCAATTTGTTAGTCCAGGTGAGCTGCATAGTTTAGCAGTGTGTTTGGTAAGGGGCAAGGAAGAAAATTTCTATCTAATGAGCATCTATGCAGGTGCTTTTAGTGGCAATAATATTGCTATTATGTACCAGTGTCCTTGGTTCTAATAATAACAATGATGATTCCATGGTTGGCCCTTGTGATGATTGATTTGTCGATATTTTCTTACCTTTCCCTGCAATAGACCCATCTATCTGTTGTCACTGTTTCATTATGTTTTTTGTTGCAGGTACAAGTTCAAATTTCAGATCCCTTCATATTTTTCTCTTGTTATTAGGAGGTATGAACTATTCATGCTCTTGAACTGGAATATATAGAGCTTGAGAGTAAGAAATTTTACTGCCAAGTGAACTACTTGCTCAAGCACATCGTTGCACTTGAATGTTCAATTGCATTGTATTTTCTTGAAAGCCTCTAAGTTTCTTTTGTTGATGTGCCAGCCTTGCTGTTCTAGAAGGTATTGCGATCAATAGTGACCCAAATTATAAAGTTTTAGGTGGTACATACCCGTGGATTGCCAGGAAAGTCCTAACTGACAGTTCTCCCCAACTTAGGTCTTCTTTGCAAGCTCTTCTTTACGAGGTGGAGCATCCTGAATATACGTGGCTGAGATTTATTTCATGTGATAGCATTCATGTATTAGTTTTAACCATTAAAAAAAAAGTGTAAAATGTACATTTCATGGTGGATGTTTTAATTTCAATATAATGAATATTATCAGGACGGGGTATTCAGGATTGACCGTTTGGAATCTCTGCTATCAGAGGTATGATGTGTGATTTTCTTATAAAGCTCTTTCCGGCTTCAGTCAGGCCGATTTCAGTTTTGTTATGTGAAAAAGAAGATAATACATGCCTATTTCTTGTACTTTTTTCAGAGTTTGGCAGATTATGCCGAACTAGATAATTTTCTTATCATTTAAATATTTTAAAACAAAAGTTATTCAAATTAATTGAGCCTACTTCTTCCAGCTCTTCTGTCCTGTAGAAGAAAAGACTACCTTGGAATTTGTTTCTCAAAGGCAAGCTTTTCTGACAGAAGAAAATATTGATTACTAGGAAAAGGAAGTACAAATTACACCCCTGAAATAATAGAACTTCTAGGCTAACACCTAAAAGCAGGGGGAGAAGCGGATATGGGTTTACTAGGACTAGATGCAACGAGTATCCCTACCATGGCCCCCATACATTGATGTGTTCACCACATGATTGCACTCATAATATGTAGTTCACTCATGAAGGCATTTCAAAAGGTCCAGTTTTCAACTTCAGTCAGCACATGCAGTCTTTCAATTTCTCTTGTGGAGAGTTGCTCCTAATTCTTTGTTATTGATGTGCAAGATAAATTTTTATGTTATGTCTCTCCTCTTTATTTAACTAGGAAGTATGAACCTATTTGTATAGTAGGAAAATAGGATCCTTGGTTTTCAAAATCCCTTTTGAACAGTAATATCTTGGGATTTTCTCTTTATGCCTCTTAACTTTTACTCCAAAACTGAATAACTTTGTTGGTAGTCCCTTCGAGCCAGAACAGAGAAAGCTTTGGTGAAAGTAGAAGACAACAATTCCGATGTGGTTATCAAGCAGATCTTGTCATTCACATTGACTGAGAAGGTAAGGGCACTACATTAATATACTACAATATTTGCAGCAAGACAGAATGAGGAAAGAAGTCATAAATTTCATTCATTGAATTTGATTCGGACAGGGTGCATTTGTAAGGGAAATACTTCTTCAAGAATTCGCCAAGGTATCTGGTTTAAGCTTCGTTGTATGAAAATTATTGGTAATAGAAAAAATAGTCTATGGGTCTGTTATGCATGCATATCAGTTTCATTCCTTCTTAAATCTAAAATGTATGTGGACGTTATATTTGCATTTAAATCGGTCAAGTAAAAATGAATAAGCCGTACTATCCTTTATGTTATGAACAAGTTGTACTATGTCTTTATGTTCTGTAAATTCATCAGGTAAAAAAATGAATGAGCTGTACTCGTCTTTATCTGGATTAGTTCATTGAAATATTGATCTTGAACTAGCTTGTTTGCTACGAGTTATTCAATTGATTAATGTTGATCTATGTTGCAAGTGGGAGTTTGTGATAAAACGTGGAAACCTGGATTTTGAAATCTTAAAAAGCTTATGATATGTGTGTGTGTGTTTCTATATATATGTGCATGCCTATTTTATGAGTCTAAACCAGATCAATAGAACAAGAAGTTATCTTACGGTTAATACATTAAATATATAAAATGGAAACATATCTAAGCTTAAACCTTATCGTGCTTTTACTTTTGCCAAGTAGGCCAATTTTAATCCAAACTATCGAGAAAAAAGGCTCCTTCTGTTGTCTTCTCTCCTCCTTTCTCTCGTAGACTTTAAACTGATGTCTATAAATTTTTAGCCGTTACATTTCCATTTTTAAACAAAAATTGACCAAAATTGTCCATCTTGTATCACCAATTCCATATTTTCATGTACTCATTGTAAAATATTCAGCAATACAGTTAAACCTGCAGCCCACTGCATCTAGGGAGAAGTGCACCCCCGTAGTACCTAGCATGGGGATTCGACAAGGTTTGGAAGCACTCCTGCTTCCTAGATGCTTATTAATAAAATCATTATTGTCAATTCCAGTCTAAAAAAGGTGGGTGAAAGAGCTACCTACAGGGGGGTGGTTAGGCTGCTATACTATTTTCTAGTCTTCGACTGTTTGTGATCATTTGTGTACCAAGTGATGCATAACGATTGATCATAACCTTTAAGTGAATTAAATACGAGATGCTTCTCAAGCTCTTCATGAGTACCCTTTTAAGGAGGATCCTTTGAGATTGGGTTTTCCAGGAATATTGCTACCAAAGCCTAGTCGTTATATGTCTGAGGACTTGTTGCCAAAGAACTGGCTAACTAAGCCTACAGCTATCATTACAGTTGGCCCCTCAAGGCATATCTTTAAATTGTTGCAGGCATATCTGTCATCTTGATGCTATAAAAGGTTGGTAGTCTCTTGAACCTGTACAATGGTGAGCCACCGACAACAAGAATATGTAAATTTTATCCCTGAAATACCCAATCCGGTACATTATGACAAGCTTAGCCCCCATGACATTGTGGAATACTGCCTTTCTGCAAATTCGTGTACCAAAGTGTTGCATGCATATCAGTAATGTTGTTACTATAAAGGGTTGGTAGGCTCTTGAGCATGTACAATTGGAGCCACTAAGAATGACAACATATTTAAGTTTTATCGTATCTGCAAGCTCCTGAGATGAAAGTGCTTCTGATCAAAGTAGCTTGTTTGCACATCAAAGTGCATCAACAAAGTAAATAAGATTGTGAAGCTCATTGACTCCTTTGAGTGGTCATTGTCATGCATGATAGCATTCAGCTTGCAGTCATATCATATAGTCTTGGTTAGTTTCTTTATATTACTTGTTTCTTAATTTAGAACATAACTTTTTTGTAATTGCCATCTATATAATGATAGGGTTTGGATGCACTTGGGATTGCAAGCCTGGAATCTTTGACATCTGCAGCAACTGCGAACATACCATTTGCCCCTTCTCCATCTCCAATAGCTGATGAAGATATCACCAACTTGAGAAACTTACATCGCCTACTTCAATTATTATCAGGGTCTCAAAAGATGGCAGATGCCAACACTGTAAGATACCGAGAGCTTTTACGTATATATATATATTTCTAAGATGAATTATGAAGTTAGAGACATGCAAGAGAATTATTTGATTGATTCTCCAAAACTCGAGCTTTTCCTTCTTAAATTCCACTTATTAACTTTTTATGTTAAAACTTCATTAAGTTCTAATACCTCCAATCCGGCAGCATACAACACTCTCATTTTATCATCTTTTTTTTTTGGGAAGGGGGGGGGGGGTTATATAATGTGATATGCACCATTCTGGAACATCTCTATATGTGCCTTACTATATAGAAGCCAAAGTTGCACCACATAATCAGACCAATGACCACTGATATTACTGAGCCATAAGTTCTGCAAATTGAAAACAAGATGGCAGAATGGAAGTTTCTTATAGTTGGGTTCCTTACCTCTTCATATATACAGACACAGACACGCACACTCAGACACACAGACACACACGCATACACACACACACACACATATATATATATATATATATATATATATTGCAAAGCTCCTAAATTTGTGGCCAGTAACTATTGGAACATAAAGGCACTGTTAAGTCTTTTAACCCCATTGTTAGAAGTAAATTACTCTGTAAATCCTATATTTGAGTTGATGTGATATATTGTTTATAGGGAGTTGAAGAATTCAGTCCATACACTAACAAAAGAACAACTTTCGAGGAGATATCTTTAGTCTTCAATCAGCTCACGTCTATTCAAGACAAACTGCCACTGCTTAATGTTGTTACTGAGGTAAGAATCATCTTTTTCAACACAGTACATCATGATCGTTCTTTAAGGTTAGATGACTAATGTTAGTTTCAAAATCATTATGATCTCTTTGAATCTCCCTGGAAAATATCGGCATGTACATTAACTTTATGATGACCATTGCAAGGTGTTAGAGTAGATAAATTCATATGAGATTCAAGTTGGAAGAGCCTTACATGTCAAGATACTGGTAAATACTGGATCTCCCCTTAGGAAGCTTTTAATATCCGAACCCTAATTAATTACATAAACTGAACTAAGCCCCTGCAACCTCTGCCAATGACCGCGTCCCAGTCTCCCTTCTTTTCACTGTTGCCAGCCACCAACATCTAGCTCCTGGAAAATTGACCAGCCTAGCCAAGTTCACCTTCCCATCCACCTACACGGCTACACCATATGCGGTCACTGACTTTTCCCATGACCATCACTGCTGCTGCTCTGGTCTGACTCAGCAATGAGGCTCTCCAAGCTACACCTGCTGTTTGGCAACCTCTGTAGGAAATTCCAACGATTATGGACCAAGCACTAGTATTATCATCCATGGTTCATGATTAGACTCATCATCTGGCCTCATGAACTGGTAATTTGAACCTGAGTAGGTTGTACTCATTCCAAACCAGATTCTCCCTGTAGTCGCCTACATGGAACCAAACAGAATCCCAAATTCATTATTATCTTGAGGAGATGCAAGAATCCAACTCACTGCGACTCGAGGAGCCCACGGCTCGGATACCATTCATAATGCTTCGAGCCCAAAGTAGCATACTAGTCTTGTAACCTCCAAATCAATTGAAGCCTTGGTGGGATGTTATTGGTAGCCCTCTACCTAGGTTTGTAAGGAGCTCATATTCATGTTCATAGTTGATGTGGAACAGGGTTGTTGTAGTTCCACTTCAGTCATGCTCACATTCATAAGGAGGAAGTTTTGGTAACATAACTTTAAGCACTAAACACATATCTTTCTATTTATCCTACCAAACCCATAAGCCTGTTGGATGTACTATAGCTTGGCTCTCCCCTTGATAAGAATAACATTGTTGAAAGAACTCTAATTATTTATAGAAAATACTGGATTTGACCTCAAGTATCAGGTGTCTCTTTAATTGAGCGAAGGTAAGACATTTTATGCATGCAGTTACCATATCAATTATAGGAGTGATTGATTTCTCAAAGTACCATACTCGGCACTTTTTTTGCGAAGAACATATTTGTTTGTGTGCATACGAGGAAAAAACGTATTAGCTTTGCAAGAATGAGCAATTTTGGACAAAAATATGATGTTGGTTTTTGCACTTACTGTAGTGTGTGGCAACAAAAAATCTTACAATGGTTCGAAGGTTAATCATTCAATATATGTTGTGATTATATTAACAGATATTATGTCAATATATATGTATTATGGCAAAAAGAATGTTGCGTTTTAACATTCCCTAAAAGAACTTGCATACAACCAAAGTGTTCACTTAACGGCTTCTTTTCATGTTGCCAAAATGTAAAGTTACTGTTTACTTTTCCTCACTCCTGATATCCCTTAAACAATTTAATAATCAACTTACCGTTGGGCATGAAACCTAATAATTATAAGCCGGTCTACGACTTCAGTCTGTAAACTCGAACTTTGTAGAACACTCACAAAAGTTAGGATAATTATTTTCTAGACTTATTATAGTAAAAGCTGCTCTACTTTGTTCTACTGAAATTCATGTTGAAGGAAGTGATATGAAACATCAAAACAGCGAAAATCAAAACAGAGGAAATCGTGGACGTCCTTATCTTTTTTCCGTCCTGATGTCCATTTTTGTTCCATGGATGCAACTAAAAGATTCATGTCATATAAGGGCATTGATCTGTTGACGATGTTAGTGAATCATCAGAATATTTTATGTAATTGGATTCACAAGAGACCGAAAGGGTTGATGGTTAAGCTAATAATATAGGTTGGGAAGTGGGGAATGCATACTTGTATAAGCTAGCTAGAATCCGGAGTCACTGCACGTTGCTGTATTGCGGTGTTCTAGGGGTAGCACCCCTGGCTGTCATCCTGAAGACATGTTTAGAAAAGATGTCTTTCTGAAATTGCCAAGTCTAAGGGGCCATTTACTAAATGCTTACTCGATAAGTGCTTACGGAGTCACTTTACCTTATCGGATGAACATGACAAGGATTGAAAATCTTACCCGGTAAGAGTGATTACAAGGACCGAGAGTCTTACCTGGTAAGTGAGAGTAACGGCTCTTACGTGGTAAGTGCTTACCGGATAAATTGTTGTATACAATGCCGTTTTAGTGGACTAAAATCTTACCCGGTAAGTTAAGTTAAAGTGTTGACTCTTACTGTTAAGTTACGTTAAAGTGTGGCTCGGAAAGCTACATGCTTTCTGAAAACGCTAAGTCTGTGTCTAGTTAAGAAAACTATATGCTTTCTGAAATGACTTAAGTTTGACACTTCAGACAGTAAGTCGAGAAGGTTGGGCTTGGTACAGAAAGCTCTATGATTTCTGAAATTTCTGAGTCTTGAAAGTTCTGAAGGCAAATCACCTCCTTAACTTGGTTTAGAAGGAAAATCTCCTTGTTTCAAAGTTATTGTTTTGATTATTTTGTTTCGAGGCTTAGTGCAGAAAGCCTTCACTTCTGAAGTCAAAGACCTCAGAAGGTCAGACTTAGGGGCCGTTTACCTAAACGCTTACGTGGTAAGTGCTTATCGGTAAAATTCAACACTATCGTTTACTTATCGAGTAAGATTTGAGTCCACCAAAACGACATATGTAATAATTTATCCGGTAAACGCTAACCGTGGTAAGAGTCATCGTCATCACTTACCGGGTAAGACTCCCGGTCCTTGCCTTTGCTCTTACCGGGTAAGATTCTTGATCCTTGTCATATTCATCCGGTAAGGTAATGTGACTTGGTAATCGCTTACTCAGGTAAGCATTTGGTAAACGGCCCTTTAGATTCAGAAGGTACTTCACCTTCTGGACTTTTAGTGTAGATACCATTTTTGTATCACCCAATAAATGTTCAGTTAATTCTTGTAATTGATACCTTTTAAAGGCGCACTCATTCGCCTACGAGACATTACAACTTCTCTATGTTTAGAAGCTTTCGATTTCTGCCTAAGTCGGGAGTGTGAATTGAGATTATCCTCAAAACAAATTTTGTGTAACCCAAACAGGAATAGGGTTTGAATATTGTGTAAGGAAACCAAGCTCTAAGCTTATCTCAATTTTAGTCAAGGTTCTATTGTGATTTCTCACGACCCAAACCAGATTTCCAATACGGTCGTGACAAAGGATAATTTTAAAAATCCGATATTGTCTTGGGGCTCGTTGGGTTGTCATATAAATACAACCATTCTGTTACCACTTTGATATCACAAATCTGGGAGAGAGAAACACATAGAATGAGGCTTAGCATTAGCTTTGAGAGTCTGAATCATAATCCGTGATTTCAATTTGTAACCTTTCTTTTTTGGTTTCTCTTGGGTGAAAATATATCTTCCGTTTACCTTCCGGTGGTGGAACCACAGTAAATTAGTGCGTTATTTACAGTAAATTGGTGAAAATAAATCCTCCGTTCAACTTTGCTCTTGCTATAATCGATCCCTTTGTTCCGCATTCATTGTTGGTAATGGTTAACTTTATTTGTTTTTGGGACCATGTGGCTTCTAAACCACAAGGTATAAAGAAGAACCTTAGCAATGACCGAATGTGGGCAAATTACTGAATCTTGTAAATACCAAGTTTCTGATTATTCGTTTCCTGCAACTATTATTATGTGTTTTATGCTATTGATCTGTGATTTAGCGAGTGATCCAGTGAAGTTAAGTAACGTAAGAATTGATATTTTGACAGCTTCCTCCAGATTTGCAACAACAACTAATTCGTCTTCCGGTTGATCTGGTTGGTAAGTTGGTCTCTCGAGTTGCGGCAAGAACAATACGAAGGGCGTTGCTATGAACTGCAAGGAAAGCAGATGGTTTGTTGTGTATAGATGCTACTGCTTGGTGCATTCATATCTTAATTACATCCAAAGAATTGTTACTGTATAGGGTATATTGATCACATCGAGTTACATGTATGCTACAACTTGTACAATAAAATTCACATGTATTTGATTTTTAAACCTTGATTGAATTGGTCCATGCTATTGGGTTGGTTCCATCTGAACGTATTCGTAATACAAATGCTTATTCAATATTCACGAATATTACAATACAAAAAGTAACAAAGAATCAACCAAAAGGGTGATGCCTAATTGGTTTGAGCTTGACTTCAAAAATTAAAAGAACCAGGAGGTCTCAGGTTCAAATCCAAGGAGGAATAAAAATCCCCTTGTGGCCACGGAGGTTCAAATGCGGTGACTCCGGGCTATCTGTAAAACAGGTGGTCGTCTTAAGATTAGTCGGCTCGCAAAAAAAAAAAAAAAAAGTAACAAAGAATCTTAGATCTAAGAACGTGTTAACCAAATGGTTAACTAAAACATATGAACAACGAAAAGATGTTGAGAGAGAAATCAAAAGATTGTTAATAGCTTTCTAAAAGAATGAATGATGATAATGAGCTAAACTCCAAAAACAATGGTTTATATATGTATCCAGTATTTGCAAGATAATCCTCCAAGTTTGAAGAAATGACTCTGCTAACCCTGAAGATTTCCACAATGTGAGGCTCAGTTCCTCAACTTAATAGTAGCAACTTTCATTTATTTCGTCTTTAGTCCCTCAACTTTTCTGACTTATTAAGTACAAGCAAAAGTAAAGATTGTTAGGATAAAACTCATATCTTTCAACACCCTCCCTCAATCTTGACTTTTGAATAAGTCAATCATCCGTAACTTAGAACATAAGCAGTTATAATGATCAACTCCAAGAGCCTTAGTAAATATATCAGCTGGTTGCTCAGAGGAATTTTTTTTACCACTTTAACCAAACCTTTGCTAATAGTTTCACAAATTTGATGAACATCAATCTCAATATGTTTAGTTCTTTCATGAAAAACAGGATTGTTAGCTATTTGAATAGTAGATTTATTATCACAATATAAATATATTGGTAACAAATCTGTAATATTGAGATCAGTAAGAGTTTTCAAAACCCACAAAACTTCACATGTTGCAGAGGCCATAGCTCTGTATTCAGATTCAACAGAAAAGCGAGAAACAATAGTTTGTTTGTTACTTTTCCATGAAACCATTGAATTACCCAGATATAAACAAAAACCTGTTACAAATCTTCTAGAAGATAAGCAGTTCCCCTGATCTGCATCAACAAAAGCAGTTAAAGAAAATATTTCTGCTCTAGTAAAGCTAACACCTTTTCCTAGTGATAACTTTAAATATATCAGAATTCTTGGAGCAAGTTTTAAATGAGATTGTCTTGGTGCATGCATAAATTGGCTTAAACAATGAATAACAAATGCAATATCTGATCTAGTGCCAAGTAAATATATTAGTCTTCTAATGAGTCTTTGAAAACTCGTATGATCATTTAAAGGAGGATCTTTACAATTACTTGAATTTGTAACAATTAAGTTCATATCCATAGAAGTCTTACAGGGTTTGCATCCTAAATACCCAAAGTCATTAAGCAATTCTAAACAGTATTTTCTTTGAGACATGCAAATACCATTTAAACAATCTAAAATTTCTATACCCAAATAGAATTTTAGCTTTCCTAAATCTTTTATAAGAAATTTACTTTTCGAAAATATTTTTACCTTTTCAATTTCAGAATCACAATTTCCAGTAATGACAATATCATCAACATAAACCAAAAGAATAATAAATATAGATTTAACTTTCTTGGTAAACAAAGTATAATCATTTATACTTTGAATAAACCCATGTTCAACTAAACAGGAAGACAACTTAGCATACCACTGATGTGGAGCTTGTTTTAAGCCATATAAAGACTTAACTAGTTTGCAAACATGTTTATCTTTAGAGTTATAATATCCTTCAGGTAAGGACATGTAAACTTTTTCTTTTAAATCTCCATATAGAAAAACATTGTTAACATCTAATTGATATAAATTCCATTTATTCTGAACAACTAAGGATATAATACATCTAACAGTAACCATTTTAACAACTGGAGAGAAGGTTTCTTCATAATCTAAACCTTCTCTTTGACTATACCCCTTAGCAACAAGTCTAGCTTTGTATCTTTCAACTTCCCCAGTGGATTTATACTTTATTTTATATATTAACTTACAACCTATTGGTTTTCTACCTTGAGGTAAATCTGAAATGAACCAAGTACTATTTCTATGTAAAGTTTCCATTTCGTCATTCATGGCACTAACCCAATTTATATCTTTACATGCTTCTTGAAAGGTTTTAGGTTCTACAAATTTATTTAAGCTAGATACAAAGCAAAAATTTTCAGAAGACAGGAAAGAGTAATTGACAACCTTTTCTAAATCATATTTAACTTTTCCTTCAACAACGAACTCATCAAATTTATGTGGAAACACAGAAACTCTAGTGGATCTTCTAATATGATGACTAGAAGATGATATACTAGATTTACCCTCATAATTGAGACTAGTAGAAGGATTTTCATCATGAGGCTAATTACTGGCAGCTATTAGCAATAATAATATTATACATAATTAGTTAGCCATTATCATTAATTCAGCATATATTCCAATTATAGTTTAGTCAATGATTGTTGTAATTT